TTACCCGTTTCTTTTATTTTTCTTGACCTTTCAATTATGCTTTGTGGTCATACAGTGTGAATCTATTTTAGTCAAAATGATTAAATGTGAATAAATAGAATTAAGTTGCCCTCATATTGATCCATCCAGTCTCGAAAACACATTCAGAAGAAAAAAAGGGGTTTCATAAGTCATTATATTCATCCAAAAATATATGAATTAAATTGAGTTCTTGTAAAGTTTTTCTTACAGGTGATACTATCACCTTGAATCCCTTAAAATTAAAAGAAGATACCGTGAATGACACTAAGTCATCGCAGGTATATCAAATTTTTTAAAAAATTTAATAGTTAAATTATTTTATAGAAAACTATTCACTTTGAAAATTCCTTAAGGTTTTATTATGAGTAATATTAAATACCGTATGCACTTAAAGTATCAACCAGTGAACTTTGAGCAATACTAAATCACCGCAGGTTTCAATACTGATTATTTTTCTCTTACTCAAAGGTACTTTAGTGGAACAAATTGTTATTTAAAAAAATAAATATAATAATATAACACAAAATATCAATCTTTTCATAAAAGAAATTAATTAAAAGAATTAAAAAAACTTAAATAATAATATTCAAACTACGTAAACTTTGATTCTTATCATAGGGTACATAAGCCTTAGGCTTTAATATTAGGTCAAATCCTCCTTTGTAAATAAATAATTTATTTTGTTTTTTCATTTTGTTTTTTTTCATGTAATTTAAAGGGTAATTAAGATATTATTAAAAGGTCAATTAATTTATGCAATCAATCGAGGGTGACCGTTCTTATAAACGGGTGTCATGAAGTGTCTAACACTTTTTTCATGCACAATCAACTCGCGAACCCTTTTGACAAAGCATCCTTTTTCATTATATAGTTTTTCAAGGTTTTTCTAAAAACTTTGATGGCGACTCTCATTTTTTTTATATTTATCGACCTTCCCCTCTTTGGAAAGGGCACAATTTGGATGTGATATTTAGTTATTTAACTTAAAATCATTAATTTTATAAAGGTATCCATGGACTTGAAAGGAATTATAGTATTTTAAGAGATCTAATTGTCATTTATATTTTGATAGAATTTTATTATCATTTTTTTCAAAAATTTTGTATATTAAATTTGGATTATACATATTAAATCTGAATTCTTGATATTAGTGATGAGCAAATTCATTAATTTTTTTATAATTTATAAATTTTTAAATCAACGGAGGTTGAGTTTAACAAAGAGAGCTAATATCTCATAACATGACGAACCAAGTTTTGAATATCTATTGAGAGATATACCCATATTTAGTGCTTATCTTGAATAAAATTGTATTTAATAAGAGAATATCTATGAGCAATAAAAAAATTTATAAATTTTTATTTTAATAAATTATTATCCGGAAGATCAACGGATTTAAAAGCCGTAGATGAATGGGTTTTTAAGCACTTCCAGAGGGGTCTTTAAGTGTGAAGGAGTTGCAGAGATGAGAGACGGATGGGTTCAAAAGTACTCAAATGGCGTGCAGGGCCGCCCAGATATTTGATGACTCTTATATGCATATAAACTTTTGATCGCTCCCATATATCAAAAGTGATATATATATATTATATATATATACTCACTGCATACAGCTATATACAATTCATTGTCACACACAAATTGTGTATTTGACCAAAAAAGAATGCAAATTTTTATTTATATATTACAATGATTAATTAAATAATTTGCCTCCTTTGGTAATTTACAACATAGTCTCATCACTAACTACATCTCTACTATTAATAACAATCTTTTAATTAACTACATAATTTAACAAATAAAAATTATATATATTATTACATTAAAAGATATTAAAAAAATAACAATTTGAACCCCCGCATTTATCTGATTTCATTATCCAAGAAAATTCTGGGGGATTTCTCTATGCTTTCCAGAACAGTAATCTCACATTAATAAAAATATGTAGCAAATTGTACTATGCGGGTTGATTTAAAATTGTAATTATAAAATGGGACTTTTAATCCTAACTTTTCGTGATAGGTTGACAAAAGAGGGGTCTCGTCACATAAGACTTTTTTATTTTGTTCCCATTTATTATTTTCAAAAATTATTTTTTAAATTAACTTTTAAAATTGTAAAAATAATTTTAGAATTAAAAAATTGATCAATAATGATAATTTCCAGTAACTAATGATAATTGCTTATGATATGAACATAGCTTAAGATAATTGGAAAATTCAAATTCAAAATCTAGTAAAAAACTTGTTAAATCGGGAATATAATTTTTTTTACATTTTTTATTAGTCCCTATCACCAATGAAATAAGAAGGTGGGGCTAGCTCCTGGGGTCACGGCGGTTGAAGTTGCCGATGACGCCGCACGCTGCACATTGGAAGGAGAGCGGGTCACTGGGGTTGGAGCATGAGGAGGGCATGAACACGCCGCAACCGTCCAGCGTGTGGCTGCCGATGCTGGCGGGCGTGGTTCTTGAGGCATTCCTTGTAGGAAACCACCGTAGGCGATGGCGGATGAGGCAAAGGGTGGCGACGCTTGAGGGAGCCGTTGGTGAAAGACAGATTTGGTGGTGTTTTGGGTGTGACAGAGGAGGATGAAGAATTGAGGTTGGCAGGGCCGTGGTGAGGCAATTGCCTTATGCCTCCAAGAAAATATATTGATACCCCTATTATATATTATATATGTGTGTAATTAATATTTATATTACTATATATTTAATTATAGATGAAAAGAATAGAAAGTATTTATTGTTCTTTCTGTTGAAAAATTCCAATCATTTCCTGTATAACATTAATTATTGATTGAGTTAAGTTCATTATCTACATAATAAAAGAATAGTGAAATACATAATACACTAATTTGTACTACATTAGCTTGCTTTAAAGTCCTCTCATAGTCTCACTTTTTATTTTCTCATTTTCTTATTTTAAAATAAAAAATATTGATAGATATTAGTATCAAGACCTTATATAATTTTAGACTATCAATGTGGCACCTTTAATCCTTATTAAAATCTTGTTTATAATTTATATAATTATTGTTGGTTTTTCACACTAATCATTGATATTATTAGTCTTAATTATATTTTTTGTTAAAAATGTACTGCCATTTCATATTAATGTTAATATTTTATCTCAATACATAAGATGGGATAGGAGCACTTTATCAATTTTAATTTTCATTTAACTGTTGAATTAATTTAATATTTTATTAAAATCACTATATTACAAAATTATATGTATATTATAAAATTTTAACATATAATTTATTAAAAATGATGAGTGAATTTTTTTTAAAAGAACAATTATACATGTTAGGCTTTATAAATAATTTTGCCCTAAACCTCAAAATATCTTCACACGGCCTGGAGGACGGCGTCTGAGGAATGTAATGGTCGGTGATGATGATTTTCTTTTCCTTTTTAAGTCAGGGGTATTTCGGTAATACCATGTCATTATTTTACTGGTCTGTAACGAATGATGAGCTCTTCATATGGAAAAACGTGCGAAAGTGACGAGGACGAGGAGTCCGGTTTTTTGCGCTCATCAAGTGATGAGCACTAACCATCTTAACCATTTAAATTTTTAACATGAACGGTTTAAATTTTATAAAATTTATTTTTTAAATTTTATTTTATATTTATTATAAAATTTTAATAACTCTATTTTATCATCAATTTAAATAATATTAATTTAATTTGAGTAATTCAATTTAATATTAATTTTTTTAAATTTTATAAATAGACTATCCAGATATATTCTATATAGATTAGTTTTAAAGTACATCTGAATAGTTAATTTATAAAATTTTTTTAAAAAAATTAATATTAAATTGAACTACTTAAATTAAATTTGTATTGTTTAGATCGATAATAAAATAGTTTTATTAAAATTTTATATTTTATAATTTAATAAATGTATTTTAAATATAAAAATAATACTGATAAATTTGTACCGTCTAGATTTTCAGATTGCTCGATCAACACCAGATGTGCACCAAAACCGGACGCGGGGACGAGAGGCTTTTTGGCCTTTTGGCCTTTTGGGGTGCCAACTTGCCATCTCCGCACACACTTCACTTCCAGAGAGATCACAGGCGAGTGAACACATGGAAGGAGGCCTTAATAAATCTTTGATTTGTGCATTATTGAAATCTCTGTTCTTTTAGATCAGACTCACGTCGCGAACAAGTTCGGAAGCGATTCTCAACCGGCGTCACTCCCCCATTCTCCGATCCTGCAGGTAAAGTCTAAAAGTTAATTCCCTGGGTATATATAATATCATATCAGCATCATCGTAAAATTCTCTGCTATAATTTCTTCAGTTACGTTGAAAAACTCGTGCTTGAATTCTCCTTCCTCATATATACATAACTGTTCTTTTCTGATCGATGATATTCGAACGCGTCTTCAGAAAAAGACCAAATAAATTGTGGGTCTGTATGTAGATCTTATTTTGTCCGGGTTTTTGATCTCGACAAGAAAGAGGGATAATTCATTTGCATGTGCTTGCTCACGGTGGCGCACCGACAAGAGTCAGGCGATTTCGAGGGGTTCATGGCCCATGTCGACGGTGCCGCCGATGAGGAAGAATCATTGAACCAAGCTGTGGCAGCGGCGGAGGCAACTGCCGAGATGGAGGAGGAGAAGGTTGTGTTTTCAGGATATAGCAATAGCTGGGTAGGAGATTTGACGGCGATAGTTTTGGCAAAGAGGTGTTGACATAACCGGGGGTGGATTCATGATCGGAGGTTTTGGCACTACCGGCGGGGGTGTCACAACTGGTGGTTTTGGCTCGTACGGTGGAGACACAACTAGTGGCCGGTGTAGGTCCATACGGCGGTGGCTTCACAACTTGCGGTTTCACAACCGGTGGTTTTGGCACTTACGGTGGGGACACAACCGGTGGAATAGGAACATAAGGTGGTAGCTTCACAACCGGAGGCTTTGACACATACAGTGATTTCACGACCAGTGGTTTTGGCTAATACAGTGGCGACACAACTGGCGGCGGCGGCTTCACAACATAAGGTGGTGGCTTCACAGCCGAAGGCTTCGGCACATACGGTGTTTTCACGACCGGTGGTTTTGGCTGATACGGTGGCGACACAACTGGTGGTGGTAGCGGCTTCACAACATAAGGTGGTGGCTCCACACCGGAGGCTTCGGCACAGACGGTGGTTTCATGACCGGTGGTTTTGGCTGATACGGTGGTGATGGCCGAGAATGCTGAGGAGGGGAGTGCGGCAGAGGTCGTGGGGGAATTGGGCGGCTGAGATTCGGTAATGACGACGTAAGAAGTGGTGAGGGCCTGGCCGGGACGTTCTTCATGACGGGAGCTCTGCGGCAATCTAAGAGATTACGATGAAAGGAGCCGTTGATGACGTGGAAAGAAGACACCCGTGAGATATAGGAAACCAAAATTTGAGATTTGACTCCTAAGTCTGAAAATCCTCTTGCCATTGATTTGCCCTCGTCAGATGTGGAACGCTTCTCTTGGCCAACTCTGGTAGCGTGGTTCTCACTCTCTCATCTCGCCACTTATGAAGAAGGCAGAAAATAGAGTGTGGAATACGGTTTTTTGACTATGAATGCAAGTGATTGCTAATGGCACAAAGTCCAAAATCCAAATCCATTCCTTGTGAGATTGATTCAGTGAGGGGTGGGTGGGTTTTCATCGGTAAAAATTTAAGGCTTTTATAATTTTTATAAATTTTTTATTTTAATAAATATAAAATAAAAAAATAATCTACTGACAGTTTCATAATTAAATTCATCATTTTTTACTCATTCAACTTCCAAGCCATGTGTGCGTGTGAAATCATAATTATAGTATTCTTTCATTTCAAGCTAGTTATAAGAATAAATTAATAATGTTATATATGCAGGGACGATGAGCTCATCAAATAATTCCAAGGGAAAAAAGTGCATCGGAGATCATCTAGGCTATGGAAGCAGGTATGTTTCTGATGATAATGGAAATAAACCATCGAAGGGCAAGAAAAGCTGCATAGGAGATCATTTAGGTTATGGAAGCACTTATGTCTCTGGTGATAATGGAAACAAACCATCAAAAGGAAGCAGCAACAAGTAAACAATGATTCTCCATCATCACTCCATTATCATCGCCACTACTCCGACCTCGTCACACTGATTCTCAAAGCTACTATTTACATGTTTCCTTTTGCGTCAGGCTGCTTGCTGTGTGGTGGTGTTGTCGTTTATGTTATATCCTGTTTCCTTTTGCTCTAAGTTTCAGCCTGTTTCTTAGTTTTACCTGGTGGACTTCAATGGTTGAGAAAATGAGAATCAGTTTACCATAAGAATCTGTGTGTGTGTGTGTGTGTGTGTGTGTGGACGTGGCTGTGGGTGTTTCTTCTCTCAGGGCTCGGTTGGGCTCAATAACGTGATCAGGGCAACAAAATAGAGAAGTGGGAGGAATCAAATAGAAAACGGGAAGGAATCGGACTGTTTTCGTGGGACCCATAAGCATGATTCATGTACTTGCATCTTTTTATCCCCATGAAATAAGTTCACTGGCCCAAAAACTACAACCCCATTTGTATCTTTCATCTTTCAATAATAAGCAATAAAAGTATTTTAATATGAATAAAATTACATAATATTGGTTAAATTTACACTTATATACGAATTACACAAATTAATTTTTGTCCCATTGTTTTAATTTAGGGGTAAATGAAATTTTTAGTTCCTTATATTTACCTAATTTATTCCTTTGATTCCTTAAGTTTAAAGATGAAAGATGCACATGGGGTTGATCGCAGAGGGAAAGAGGGAGATGTTTAGTTTAGTTTCGTTTCGGAGAAATTCTCTTACAGCCACTTACAAATGTTAGGTGAAAAATTATATATTGTTTAATTTTCGTGTTGTAATTTATTTTTTTGATAATAAAAGGAGCAGCTAAAGCCTGTCGTGTTATAATTTTTACACTAAAGAGGTTTCTGCTTTTTTATAAATTACAATTTTTGAAATACTAAAAATATGATAAGAGTCTTTTAACCTTACAAAAGTCTTTTTGGGTCAAACTGACCACATCAACACCAAACCTACAGATGTGTAACACTCCCAGACCATGACGATCCTGGTTCTCGCTTTCAACTTTATTTAATAATAGGGTAAAAAGTTAAACATATTCACAAAATAATCAATCATGAGCACTCAATATTTTAAAAAAAAAAAAATAAAAATACTTATAACATTACATGAATAAACATAAAATTAATCAAACCATTAACTTTGACTTAACGCCGTTAACTTTAACTGTTAAATGCTGACCGTACGTGCCACGTGTCAGTCTTTGCTGATGTGGATTAATAAATGAGCAAAAATACCTATGAAGTCATCAGCCAAATGCAAAAAACACCCATAAAGTCGTAGGTCAGGAGCAAAAATACCCATAACATTACCGGAGTTGGTGTAAAAGTATCAATCCATCCAATCCTTTAAATGTTGACCGTTTAGTTGATACTTAAACAAAAATTAACCATTTTTTTAACTGATATGGATAAAAAATATTCTTAGATAAAATTCTCTAGAGGTTAATCGGCTATTATATGAAAATCATGTGAGAAAATGTCATTTTGATTGAATATTAAATTAAATCGCTTGTTTTTTTGCAGCAGTGGCAAAAACCATTTAAAAATTTAAACTTATCATAAATATAATTGCTTAAGGTTGTGACAATGTTCTTAAATTAGATGTGCTCAGTCTTGATCTTCGATTTTATACAACCTATCTCACTATATTAAATCTCAAGTTTCACAAACAAGAAAAGTGAGTGGAGAGGGAGAAAGGAAGGAGGCGAGATACGTGGCAATGAAAAAAAAAACCATGTGACATTAATTTTGATGGGTTGGTCACTATCGCATCTACTAAAGTAACATTATGAGCACTTGTATGATAATCAATCAATATATGTAAAAATTCATCTGAGAATATTTTTTATCTACATCAGTGAAAAAATAGTTAATTTATGCTTAGATGTTAGCTAAATAGTTAACATTTAAGGGATTGGAAGGATTAATACTTTTACACTAACTCTGGTAACATTATGAGTATTTTTACTCTTAATCTATGATTTTGTGGGTTTTTTTGCTCATGGTCAATAACTTTAAAGGTATTTTTGCCTCTTTCAACATTAGTGAAAATTGACACGTGGCATGTATAATCAACATTTAAATATCAAAGTTAATAGTGTTAGGGCAAAATTAATGATTTGGTTACTTTTGTACTCATCCATGTAACATTATGAGTATTTTTGTTATTTTTTTATTTTAAGATATTGAGTGCATGTGACTGATCACTATATGAGTATTTTTACTTTTTTACCTTTAATAATGTCTTTAATAGTAATAGTAATACTAACAGTAACTTGGCTTTGTGATCCTATCCACACGTGGGGCCCACACTCTCCCGTTTCATCATGACACTCCAACTTCACCGAACTTCAGCCACATTGTGTCGATGCCGTTAGATCTCCTTGTCTCTTTCTTTTTCCCGTCCCACTCCTGATCTACGGTTTTAAGTTCCCACAGCCCCCCGCCTTTTTTTAATTTGCATTTTCGTTTAAGAAAATATCTAACTTGATTCAAGTGATTCGTCCCTCATTTGTCTAATATACCGGACTGGTCTGCTGTCATACATCCACCAGAAAACATAAGATCCTATTAATACTCTGTTTAATTTCATAATACTCCAACATCATCTATGATTATTGACCTATGTTTTAATTTGATAACACTCACAAAATCTAGTCCGTAATATAATGTACTTACTTAAAGCTCTGCCTCCACTAGATCTAAAGTATAAGATGTTAAATAGTTTTTATAATTTTTTTCAATTATATTATCATTTCATTTATTATTTTTAAAGAATAATTTATTAGAATTTCAATTGTTATTATTAACACTCTTATATGAGATACTTCCTCCAATTGAAAATATAATTATTTCTTCTCGTCAACTAACTTTAGCTTAAAATATGATCAATCTAATACACATAAAATATTTATTTTATTTTACTTATTGTATTTATTAACCTATATATTTATGTAAGTATTTCTTTTGCTCATCATAGAGTGCTTTGATACTATGAGAATGAGAACTTTATTAATATATGAATTAAAAAAACTGTTTATATTTTAAATTGAAGGAAGTATTTAATAAAGATACACTCTGTGTGTTTAATATATAAACATAATGCCAGGAGAATGAAGGCTACGCTTCCACACTTCTGTCATGTGACGGATACCGAAATTTCATTTTCCGACAACCTTTATCCCATAAGGACAAAAGTTTGAATTCTCCTCACTAATGCAAGATATTTGTTAATAGGTGATCTGTAATTTCTTTCAAAAATTCTCAAAGAAGTTGGGAGATTTGTTTTGGCTTTGATGGGTTATCGGTGTCTAACCCATCTAAACTTTTGAATATAAAAATCATACATACACTCTCTGCCCCCCCCCCCCATTTAATATCATAAATATATTAAAGAAATCCTGAAATATCCGTAAAACTGTCATTAATAATATCAATCACTTATAATCAGGGTTCAAATTATTTTGAATAAGAGGTAACAACACTCTTAAGTTTTCCAGAATATTAGGCAATGGAATAAAAAAATAAGTGGGACGTTAACAAAAACGTGTATATTGAATATTCGTAATATTTAATCATAACTAGCCTTACATCTACGGAGGTTAAGCTGATGTACCAAAATACCAGAGGGAAAAAAGGTAACACATTTGACCGCGTGGGAGAAATGCTAATTTAGAATGTATTTGACCTGGCCTTTTTTATTATATGTATATTTGACGTGTGTCATGTATTATATCAACAATTAATTAACTTTACTTTAATATACAAAAAAAATTAATTAGTATGCCATTGTATTAATCTCTCGTTAATTGAGAGTTCAGTTTCTGTTATTTAAAAAGGTGTTGGGGGATGAAATATAAGAGAAGCATGCTTGTCTCTGAAGGACAACAAAACTAATTATCTTTTTAGTTTTTGTTTTGTCTCTGACTGCATCTCTTACAGGGTCTGTTTTCGTCATTCTCCCTATATCTTTTTATCCATTTATTATAATAATATAGAATCTGTAGCTTTTAAAAAAAATTGGGAGAAAGAACAACAAATTACTTCTCAAATATGCAAATAATAATGGAATATCATAAAATATAATAATTATTAATTAGTCTTTAGGAGCTGCATGACTTTTTTTAACTTCGACGAATAAACTGACTGTCCTCATCGACCACCATGCAGTGGGCATGATTACTTTAATTGAGTTATTGATTAAACCAAACATAAAATAACTTTTTTTTTTAAATTTCACAAAATATCAAAATGTCAAGCAAGTCCCTATATGCTACTAAATACACAACCTTTGTTCTAAATTATTAAACAAATTTGAAGATACTCTATCCCATCCTTATATATGAGATATTTTCTTGAAACTCATTTTGTCCATGAACAAAAGAGGTGTCATGGATATTTTTGAATAGTTGGACAATGTTTTTCTATTGTCTTAAAAGGGAGGGGATGTTAATTATGTGACTTATCTACCATCAAGAAATTGTTGTGGTTTTATATGCTTTCAACAAAATAATAAATTTTTATTGATATGTAGGATTCAGTTAAAAACACTTTATATATATACTATATAGTCCTATTTATAAATCACTTACAATATTTTCATCATAACTAAGAAAAACCTTAAACCTCATTAATTTTATTTAAAAATTTAACAAATTTTTAACTTTATCCCTATTAAATATACCCACTAC